TCTATTGTGAGAGATGACTACCGAAAACTTATTGAACTGTCTGAAATATTTTTGGGAGGACATCAAGAAAAGAAATGCTTATAAAAAGCTGAAATTTCATATAACAGTATATTTTAGCAATACTAATTAGTATATATTAATATATTTAAGGGATAAAATCAACTAAATTAGTGAAACAAATGATATAATATGTATATATATACATATTATATTAGTTAAAAAGTAATATAATTATACATATTATATATACGTATTATATACGTATACGTATTATTATAGCTATTTTTGTAACATCGGCTGTTCTGGTTTTGGCTTCGCCTCGACCGCAAACAGCTACGATTCGTCCTAAAAAACATGATTTTTAGGTACATGTTGCAAACAACATTTTTTTGTTCTAGTTCCATATATTCATATTTTTAAATAGAGTAAATACCTATTTCTCGAAATTAAGATTATTGACAGTGACAGTGAGTCACTGTCAGTGACAATTATCGAATTTTATTTTTAATTGTTGTATTGCAATGGTTCAAGAACCATGTTGCAAAAGTTTCCATAGCAATTTTTTCGTACTACACCTTTTCCAGTTGATATTCAGAAAATAGGAATTGTAATTCAGTTATTCCAGTTGATATTCAGATAGTAGGAATTGTAATTCAGCTATTCCAATTGATTTTAAGAGAGTAGCATATGTAATTCAGATAACACAATTGATTTTAAGAAAGTAGCAATTGTAATTCAGATAACACAATTGATTTTCAGAAACTTGCAATTGTAATTCAGAAAGTAGCATTTGTTTTTCAGATTAAATCAAATGTAATTTAGCCGCAGCAATTGTTTCAGGAACAGTGGGTTGCATACAGTAAATCGATGATGAATGAAAGTACACGTTATCTTTATTAACTAAGTAAATTAAATTTATATAAAGTACAAATGAACAAAATTCGGTACTTACTTGTAATAAGTTGACAATAATTGTCAACAATTATTATGACAAATATACCTACTTAAATGGTGATAAATTTGTTTATTATTGTCAATTCCATGGAAAAAAAGCAATATACAAAAAAATACATTAAATTAAGATTTTAGAAAATAAGTAAAATGAAGTATGAAAATGTTATCATTTGTTAATTTCTGAATTTCAATTGATATATTCTGAATTACAATTGTTACTGTCTGAATACTATTTGTAATTTCTGAATATCAATTGCTACTGTCTAAATATCATTTGCAATATCTGAATTACATCAGCTACTTTCTGAATATCATTTGAAATATCTGAATTACATTTGCTATTTTCTGAATTTCATTTGCAATATCTGAAAATCAATTGCTGCTTTCTGAATATCAATTGCTACTTTCTGAATATCAACTGGAAAAGGTGTAGTACAAAAAAAGAATTATTTTACGGACTCAAATGAGTTCGTTAAATAGCTATTTTAGGGGAAAAACAAAAACATATATATTTATCAATAAATTAAAGTTTTTAAAACCAATAATATATTAAAAAGTATATCTTTATAAAACGTTTAAAAAAATAATAAATAGGTAACATAAAAATAAATAAATAATATTTATTAATATACCTAATCTAAAAGTTATAACAATTAAAAAACATAGGTACAATAATTATAATAGGTATAATACAACCATCTGAAAACCACTGCGCATACGTACGGCGTCTGTTACTTAGTGCGCATAGATACGATCACCTGTTAACTGCGCATAGCCGATTTCTTCCCGAGAAAGGTGAACAACTCTAATTTTTGCACTATAACTTAAAGACTTCGTTATCTTATGTTCGCTTAAATCATGAAGTTTAATCCTTAATCTATTTTAAATTATTTCTAAAAAAATAGTTTGTTACTTGTAAAAGAATATATATATATATTTTTTATAATAAACGTTTGAAAAAATATTTTATTTAAAATTTAAAAAATCCGGCCAAAATCCGGCCGTTGTTGCCGGATCAGTTTAAAAATTTGGCCGGAGCCGGATATGCTGCCGCATAGGCCGGATCGGCCGGAGGCAGTAGGTGAGCAGTAACTCCGGTGCATCCCTAAAAAAAACCTGACCGTCCGAGTATTAGTGAAGACACTAATATATACATTTTGTTACGAGTGGAAGAAGATCCTCATAGTGCTTCTAGCCTAGTCGAAGCTGAAAGTCAAGTCGCTTAGTATTACGTTTTATGAAGAAAGAAAAGTACCATATTACAAAATTAGACTTATTTAGGAACTTAACGAATATGATCCGGACCGTAGACCACAATTTTGTGAAACTATGATGTAACAATAATCCACACTTTCCTCGTAAAATACTTTTTTCGTGCGAAGCTACCTTCTGATTGAATGGTACAATCACTTGTCAAAATTGTAGGTGCTGGAGCAGAGAAAATCCTCATTGGCTAGTAAAGACAAATTGCCAATACTAGCAAAAAGTGAATGTCTGGGCAGGAATGGTGGAAAACTGGATCTTAGGCCCTTTCTTATTTAAAGAGAATATGACAAAAACATATTTGGAATTTTTTCAAAACTCTCTTCTTCCCACATTAGCAGAAATGTTTCCCAATGAAAATGGAGGTCCCGATCTACCAAGTGATACCATTTGGTTTCAACAGGACGGGACACCGAGATCTCCAGACCTCACCCCTCTCGACCACAAAATTTAGAAGACTTGAGAAATCAAAACTATCATCCCAAAAGGTATACATATATGTATATTGCATATTGATAAATTCAAAATTTCATAATCTATTTGAATCTGCATAAAAAAGATGAGGTACAATTTTAAAAAAGCCGATGTCGTCGTAGCTTCTACAAAAATAGCGGACAATATGAAAATTTTACATCAAAATTAAAAACCAAGGAATTTTTTGGAGAAAAAAGGCAATTTTTAAATAAATTTGTTCCATACTTTTGCCATAATTGCTGCAAGAATATAATTTAGTACCCGTACAAAGAGTTAAAAATCAATTGCGTTATTTATGGTTGTCACTTTCTTCATTATATAAAATGTTATTCGACCTTGATATGAATGTCTTTTCTAACAACCTTCACTACCTATCAAGTCTCTCATACATACATACACATACGTGATTTCCTTGGAGTTTATTGCTATAAAATGCAAATTATTGCAATTTCTAAAATACCATCTCCTTTTTATTTTCCTTTGTGTTTCTTTACTTCCTTTTTCTCACTTCCCGAATACCTACTTTATTATTATCTTAATTCACATTCAATTATTTTAAGAACTACATTTTTTTAAAACTTGTCCATAAGCCATTTATGGGCTTTCTTCTTCTTCTTCTACCAGTTCTTCGAGCATGCTCACATGCGTCACTTTAACCGTTACGTCGCCGCACGTTGCTTCAAAAGCGAGATGGGGAAAAAAGGGACTGGAATAGTGAAAAATTTTAACGAAGCACCACGTACGTTTGGTCGTTCACCTCGTTCGCGAAGAAAAAAAACAAATGCTGGCGCTTCCGACCGGTGCCTACCTCCAGTCGGGTATTAATTTCCACTTCCTGGACGCCACATAAGTCTTTTTTATAACGCACAGCCAATTTACATAATACAGTTAATTGTGATAAAGACCTGCATACGACGACGTAAATCCTACTTTAATTTTTAGGTAGTTTTAATTAAATATAGAAGGAAAAAGTGCAAACCAAATTTACAATCTTAAAAGAAACTTTAAATTTTTGACCGACGTAACCTAAAATTATAAATAGGCCGGTTATGTAACAAACAACGTTTTGGAAATATTTGGCAAACAATACCCGACGTATATTATTTGTTATGCCAAAATTTAGTAATGCAAATATTTTATAATTGCTCTAAAAGAGCAAGACAAATTTTAAAATGCATATGCCTAAAATGTCAGAACTAGTTTGAAATTAGCACCGCAAAAACATCTTTTGTTCACATTAAAAAATATTTTTTAATTTTAACAAAATATTAACTAGATTTTATGTTAATCCAGGTCCACATAACTTTATGTTAAGTTTACAACTAACTGTAATCTGTTAACTAATTGAATAAGTAATATGTTATTATAACAAACATTTTGTAGATTTAATAACAAAAGTATTTGTTGAAAATTGGAAACTTAAATGAAAAGAATTTTGTTAAGAAATGTTGCTTTATTAATCAATTTTATACATAAATAAACACAAACATACACACAATTAAATAACACAATTCTGAAATCATCAAATTAAAAAAAAGAAATTTGGTACAAATTGTACAAATTGTACCGTACAATATCAACACTTAATGATGTATTTCGTAACTTTAAACCACTTCACTGTATTTCTGGTGATATATTATAAACACTCTGGACAGTTGTTACGAAGACGTTACGAATTAGAAATCAGTTGTACTTTTTCAACGAAATAATATGTTAAACATTAACAAAATAATCTGTACCTAATCTTTGAAATTAACAAAATGCTTACAAAAATGCATATTGCCTTTAAAAAAGTCTCGGTAAAATTTTTTCCTTTCTTAAAATATTTACAAACCCTGGTTTTCTTCAAAAATTATGTTAACAAATCTGATTTTTATAACAGAGTTCAGATGGATTTACGACTCAATAACATTTAACCGTTATATGTTTATAATTTACCCAGCAAATAAACAATTTTGGGTCAGAAGTCGCAGATAAAGAGTTTAAGTGCAAATAAACATATTCAATTTAAAATTTTGTGTTGGACAATAATTATTATTGTACGATGTCGTATTACACATATGAAATAGAATAATTGTTTTAGAGTTTTTTTCAAACGTTAAACATTTTTGTGAAATTTAAGCTTTCAATAAAACAGTGTTCTGCAATACCGATTTTTCGCCACAATGATGAGTGTCAAACTTAAGACGCCTTTTTTGATTGATGGTAAAAATTGTCCAGTAACCAAAGACTTGGAGACAATACAACTGAACAAAAACGTATTTTTTAATTTTGAATATTACTTTATTTAGTATTTCCTATTGTTGCAGATATTTGTGTACCAGAGGCCGGTTTTGTGACAGCGGGTCCGTTCGAGGAGCGTTGGAAAGTGGTGAAATCAGTTTTCCATCCCCCCCCCGCATACGGAGTTTCGTGGAGGCACACGCACGCACCGAGAGGAAAAAAGGAATTTGTGGGATAAGTGCAGTTAGATAAAGGTGCGGCGCCATGGAGCGTGAGTCGAACTGCATGCAGGCGCTCTGCAAGTCGGGCTGCGGCTTCTACGGCAGCCCGGCCACCGATGGACTATGCTCCCTGTGCTACAAGGTAAGGAAAATCCGAAATAAGTATCCGATCGTTTATGTTATTATGTTAAAGGGACCTCTTGTAGGAAAAAATAAAATTGATTTATTAATTTTTTCAAACGCTACACTGTTTAAAATATCTGTGGTGTAAAGAGTAATCCTAAAATGGTGTCAAAATCCAACACCAAGTGGTGTTAATATAACATGAATTATGGTTGAAAATGAACACTAAAACGGTGTTTATCTAAAAATATTTGAGAAGTGCACCTACACAGAAAAAAAGGAATAGTTTATTTAACTATATTAATTTAGTTGACCCATAAGTATTTATTTTTTTGTGGATCACGTGATGTTCTTAAATCTCGCCTCTGTTGACTTACATGAAGAATATATAAGCTCAGGTGGTCCTTTGCTTTGGTGTGACACTACAAGTTGTTCGATACTAGACCTTAAATAGGTGGTAACAGCTGTCAATACTTAGTATTTTAAGTTAGTGGAACGAACTTAAAACATTATCTCTAGCCAGTTAAAGGTTCCATTTTCTGGAATAATACCACTGGTAATATACTAGTAATGTGTCAAGGAACTTCCTGTTTCCTTTTTTCTGTGTAGTATGATTTCATTTGACCACAAACACATAATATTTAACACTGAAAAGGAGTTCAATTTACACCAGGTAAAATTTATTTTAATACTGTGTGAAAGTTAAATTTACACCATTTTAGTATTTGAATTTACACCGGACCAACGAACCCTATTTAACACCATTTTGGTTTGTATCGATATAGACCATAGATGGTGTTAATTTGGTGTTAAAAATGGTCATGAAAATTTGAACAGTGTACATTAAATTCTGAACATTTTGAGACCAATTTCATTCTACTACCCAAGAAGACTAAATACTGGAGTAGTACGTACGTACTATGCTCCACACCTCAAAGTCCCACCACGTGACCACGTACGGAACGCAGTCTTTTGAAAATTTGGCATTTAAGACTATGTAAGGTTATGTATCTGTCAAAGTACAGTCAATGAAAGAAATAATATTTATAGTGTTACCGCTTATGTTTAAGCGTTAAAAGTTAATAAATCTTTATAGTATCACAATAACAATGGTTGCTTTAAGAATTTAGGAATATAAAGACTGCATTTAATGAAATTCTAAAGTGTAAGGTGCAATATAAGTGATATTTTTGTGCATTGGGTCTACATTTTTCCATAAAATAGTTTTAACTAAACAGCATTTATTTAAAAAAATCTAACTTATCTATTATGAAATAAGAATATCTGGATCAAAGGTAGGTTAATGTATTAGAACAAAAAATATCATCCAATTTTGTATTTTAAGGTTAGAAGAATCTATTTTGACCAAAATAAATAAGTGGATTATTTGAAAGAGTGTGTTAATATGGTCATAAATAAATATAGGTATACTAAATAATTGTTGAATATAGTCCAAATTAAATTGAAGCTTTTATACTTCTAACGACAAAACTTGTGCATACCTCTCGGCATACTTACTTTAAGTTAGATTATAAGAAAACAAACAATTTTTAGAGAAACTTGCAATGTGAAAATATTTAATACTCCCATGACATGTGATTTATTAAAATTTTTAAAGTTATAATGATTTTTTGATGTAGATAAAATTCAGTCGAAGCTTTTTAACTATTTGTATTGACAAAACTTTATGTAGGTACACTTTAAGCTGGATACGAAAAACTGCCACCATTTTTAAATACCATAATATACAGTATTTTAAATAATCCAAAATACTTATTTATTTTGGTCAAAATAAATTTTTCTAACCTTAAAATTACAAAATTAGATGATATTTTTGTTATAATATATTAACCTACCTTTAATACAGAAATTCTTATTCCATAATGGAGAAGCTACATTTTTTAAATAAATGCTGTTTAGTTAAAATTAAAGAAATAGAGAAAACCAGATATTTGGACCAAATGCACAAAAATATTACTTATTTGTAGGGTTGGGATTTTGACCGGTCAAAATCTTTTGTGGTCAATTGACTAGTCAATTGACCGGTCAATTGACTAATCACCGGTCAAATTCTTTAGTTTTTTCTAAAGAAATAAAGGCATGAGTAAAATTACTTAATTTTAAATAGAAACCTATATTTATTGAAATACAGCTAACAAAAAATAAAGAAACCATTCTGAGGTACAAAAAAAATTCATAATATCATTGTTTCTAAGAACATTCACGTCTATCTCGCAGCAGAGCAGCAACAGCAGCCCAGCAGATAAGACCTGAAGATGGTACATAAGATTGTACCGGAACGTCGTCAGACATACGGTTCTTTTAAGAACCAAAAACCGACAACACGGTGCTAGCATGTGTGGATAACGGCACATCATCCTCGTCATTGAACCCACCCTCGCCATTGTCTTTACTCTCTTAAAATTAATTAGTCAAAAATGATCCAAAACACTATTTAAAAAGCATTATTATGATGGCACCATGGTCCACTACAGAACATTTTTTTAATACTTTTGATATTTTTCGCTAGGTAGCGCCGCCTCCGCGCGCGGTTGAATTAAAAGTTTTTGACCTATTTTGACATGGTCAAAATTTCTCCTGTCAAAAAAGGTCAAAATCTCGGTCAATTGACCGCGGTCAATTGACCAGGCACAACCCTACTTATTTGGCACCATACACTTTAGAATTTCATTAAATGCAGTATTTATATTCCTAAATATTACTTATTTGGCACCATACACTTTAGAATTTCATTAAATGCAGTATTTATATTCTTAAATTTTTAAACCATCCATTGTTATTGTAATGTTATAATTTATAACTTATAAAGATTTATACATTTTTAACGTCTAAACGTCTTTCGTTGACTATACTTTGACAGATATATAACCTGAAAAGCCTTAAATGCCAAATTTTCAAAAGACTGCGTTCCGTACGTGGTCACGTGGTGAGACTTTGAGGTGTGGAGCATAGTACTTTGGTTGTAACCTACGAATGCAAATTATAAAATACCCACCCATATTATGCCTTGTGGTCGAGAGTTGCTTCTGGGTCATTCCATCGTTTCGGGTGTTACATTTGTTCAACCAAAGTATAAATTTTTATGTATTTTGAAATAATATTTTAGCAATTAAAGTGCCTTATTCTCTACGTTTTTAGTTCTATCTAAATTGTAAAATTAGTACAGTTTAGCATATCGAAAAGTGTGCTTTTCGGGTGTTTCACGATTTTGCCTCTATGTCCTGATCATTGTTAGATTTATTTGAAATTCAGAGATTTTTTTAGGGAAACATTCCTAAAAATTACAGGCCTCCAAAAGTATAATATTTACTAACCATCTACCACATAATAACTGTTACAAATAACGTTTTACTATTTTTTTTTATAAAATTTTACTTTGTTTCGGTTGTTACCATGGTTCTGTTTCGGGTGTTACAAGTACAAAAATTAAACACTTTATATGGTCAAAATCGGTGTTTTATTAACTAATCTAGACTAGTCTAAGTACTACAAAATAAGTAAGTAACAAATAAACACATATCAAATTAGTGTTATGCTCAGATATTAGTTGGTATTTTAAATCATTACCACCATAACCTTACTTTTACTAAATATTATTACAATAATCAATCTGCAAGGTATAATAATAAAACAATCACCTGATTTTTCGTTTCACTGTTACAGTGTCAAAGTAAAAAGAAAAGACATAACGTGATAATTATCAATTTTTTCGGGACTGCGACGCAATCGACCAATACTACGATAAATAAATAACCTTTAATCACAACGTGGCAAAACGGTTGACAGATTGACAGTTTTTTCTTCTTCGTATTTCCAATAAGTAGTTAAAGGCACAATGGTCATTCAGCCAGTTCACTTGAGTACAGATTTTGAAGACTAATTAACTTAAAAATTAATTTGTCGCACATTATAATTTGGAATGTTTTCTTTTAAAATTCATGCGAAAAGAACATATTTATTTTTTTACCCTCAGTATCGTTTGTCATGGAATGACTCTTCTCCTTTATTTAGTCTTCTTACCTTGCTAGAAAAGCAAATCAAAGTTCCCTCTAGCAGTTAGTAAAACTTTATAATGATAAGATCGGTTGTTATTGTGGTTTATCTGGGGCTACATGAACAGTTTAGTGTACCATAGCGAAGTTGACACTGCAGCGGCAGATGAAATCCGAAATCATCCGGATATGATAGCAAGAGCGGCACATCATAATTTTCTACGCCGCTGTCAACTTTGTGTGGATAATACAGCGGGATAGTTGAACATTTATTACCATTTTGTGGAACACTTTAAAAAAATAGCTACATGAGCATCAATCGACGTAAAAAGTGAAAGGTGAAATTTAAAATCGACGGGAAAACCACGGAAACCTCGAGATCCCTAACAATAAAACAATAATGTTTTATTCAAAGTACCTAAAAATAGCTGAGTATACAAAAAAAAAACAATTTTCAAGAAAATAACCAATGGTAACACAATTTTTAATTTCCCACTATTCAAGCATATTTTGCGTCAGTTGTCATAGGTCAGGATCAACCAGTGGCGGTCCAAAATTTCTACTTTACTTTACTTTCTTATTTGTACTACATTCCCTTAAAGGATAACTTATTTGCTGACACCCTGTATACAAAGTTTAGAGTATAAACACGTATACAGGATCTTTAAAAAAGTTTATATTAACGTAGGCCCAGGGTGTTAAACATTAAAAAACGGCATTTTTAAATTATTGTTTGCCCGATTTTGTTGAAATTTGGCAACGTTATTTATACTGATAAGGAGCTAATTTTGTTTTAACTAGATTTAAATTTTTCAGTGGCGTCCCGGAAGGCATCTTAACGAATATTAATGCCAACAAAATGTACGCCACTGACTGTTTTGCAATTTTTATAATTTTTTATGATTAAGCCACTAATATTACCTTGATTTCGACAGAAAAAATAAAAAAGATATTATTGCATGAAAATTGCTAAAACGCATATTCTGCATTTTTTTCCGGTCAAACAAAATTTACCTCTTATTATTTTTTGAGAAAATTGACAAAACGTATAAATAACGTTGCCAAATTTCAACAAAATCGGTTACGACTACGCTATTGCTATTCTAGCTAGTGTCAATCGGCCACTACCACTAAGTATAGGCAACCCAGTAGTCACAATTATTTTTAAATGCTTCCAACAGGTACCGGGCCTAATTACAGAAGTACACATTGACAGAGACACTGACATACACAAATAAACAGCCATGCCCATGTGGGATGCGAACCCACGACCTCTGAGCTTGTAGTCCTTGGAAAATCAAATTAAATTTAGTTTTAATATACAGGGTGTTATGTAATTAATGTTATATATTAAAATACTGAATACCTTTTGACATAAGGAATAAAGGAAAAATATTTAAAAAAACATTTTTCCAAAGATAAAGAAAAAATATGCATTAGAAGTTTTTTATATTTTTTGTGATACGCCACTGGTTACACACTAGGTTTATCTCTGCACACTTGTATTTTGTGAGTACTTAGATACCAACCAACAAAGTAGCTATGCGTTGCCAGATGTAAAAAATTGTTACTAAAAATTTAACTTGCAAAAAATAAATAAAAACTCAATAAATACAAAAGTTTTATGCCCTTAAAGCTCTAATACCCTTCTGTATTTATTTACTGATCCAGCTATTAGCTTAAGCAATGATTAGAAAATTTAGTACCTTTGAAATTTGAAATCCATAACCACAAAATTAATTTTTTCATCAGTTTTTTTCTCTGTTTACTCAGACCACTACGCCACCGGCTGCGGTGACAATCCTACATATGTTAAACCCCAATTAACTCTATAGGTTTTTGTAATTTTTTATTTTCCTAAATGGTTTTTATATTTTAGGAGGCCCTTAAAAAGAAACAACAATTGCCCACGACGCCTCCGAGCTTGAGCGCTTACAGAGAAACCGCGACAGCTCAACCGACAATTAGCCGCCTTCCAACACCCGTCAACGATATCCTTTCCAATGAGGTGAGTAAAATAAAAATCACAAAAATTGCCTATTTCGAAATTTTCGTCAAATTTGTACATTTGGCAGCGTCGCCTCGTTTGTTAGGTTAAGTTTTTGACAGTTGGGCGCCATCTACACTCGGTAAATTTCAACTTAAGGTAGGTATAACTGTCGTTTTCTTTACCCAGAAAAAATGGAAATTTTGGTAAAAATAAGTCTTGTTATAATCTATAAAAGGGTGTTTGATAAAATTAAACAAAGTAAGCTATTGTTACACTAGTTGAACAATGAAAAATATTGCTCCACCAGAGGAGCAATTAGAAAGAAGACAAGAATGGTAAACAATAATTTACACATGTGACATAGATGATACATATTTACATAAATATGATTTTGAACATTGTTCACATATTTGGAACCCAACTTTTAACTCCTATTCATTTTTTTATCAATTTTTTCAATCAAATTTCTGTTAAATCTCTAGATATAACCGAGGGGTCAACCACCCAAAGGGAAAACGTCCAGGGATTCCCATGGGAATCCATGCATGTATTCCCATTATATTTTATTGAATTCCTATGCATTTCCATTGTATTCCTATGGTATTCCCACTCTAAAATGTCCAGGGATTCCCAGGTGTGGGTGACCCCTCGGATATAACGGTCTTAAGAAGTCATCTTAAGCTGGATATTAATGTCTTAAGAATGTCATAATGGTATAAATTATTGACTAAGGGCGGGTTTTTCAATCGTTGGTTAAGTTTATCTTACGGTTAATTTCCTTAGATACTATTGTTAACACAATAGTATCTAAGAAAGTTAACCGTAAGATAAACTTAACCAACGATTGAAAAACCGGCCCTAAATTTTTTACATGACAAATACACATTGACAAGTTGTGGCTTTATGGTGTTTTAGTCACGGGCTGAAGTTAGTTTTAAGTTAGTTGACAGTTGTCAAATGTCATACAATCGTTAAAATAAAGTGCCTTTCTTGTAAAATAATACTAAATGTGAAAATTATTTTATTATCTCAATACCAACTGGATTTAACTGATCTCAATACCAACTGGATTTAACTGATTAACCATTAAAAATTTCGGGTGGAGAATCCACAGTGGAGTTCCTATAAAACATTATCTTCACTTTTACTGTAAAAAACTGCTCATTTAAACGGCTGTTAGTCCATTTTCAAGGGATACATTTCGATTTACACATAAAATTTGACATTTTGACCGGCGCGCAGGTAATAAAGATTCCCAAGTTGAAGTTGAATGTTTACTCTTTTATTTTATAGATGTCGCTTCATCAATATTTATTGAAATAATTATTATCTCTTCACCAAATACAGCTCATTTTTTTTATTTATTGGTAGCTTATGCAAGTTTGATTTAGTATTTTTAGTATTTAAAAAATGGTACTTCTGCTAGCCTCTCGTGCTCTTCAAAATTAATGCCAATTGCGAAATTTCCAAGATTCGTATCGAATTCGTATAAAAATTAAAAATGTTATCGGTAAAAATGTTCGACTAGTGGTATTATATACGATAATTTACTTGTTAATTATATAATATCGATATAAAAAGATAAATATGCCAAAAATAATATCAGATTCTAAAGTAAAAGAATTTCTAAGGGCAACGTTGCCGCATTCCAAACAAAAAAAAATAACTTTACCACAATTAAGGGTATGTTCCGTAAGTCAACTTGGTTGGTTTGGTTTCGGTTACGGTGTCCCGTAAATGAAAAATTCCTGAAAATTATGTAGTTAAAAAACGCGGTTCCTGAAAAATAGGTTAACCAATCGTTACCGAAACGACCGACGCTTTATGATCGGTTAAATCGGTTACCAGTGCAGCAAACCAAATGGAAACAGTGTTGCCCTAAACAAAATTACTGTTTTTTGTTGGTTATCTAACCTAAAAATTTAACACAGGAGCAGACTTCGCATACAAAATACGTTTTGTCCACAGAACTACAAACAAGGTAGGTCTGTGGTTTTGTCCAATAATAATAATTGAATTCAGTATATAGGGTGTTTTAGGTTTGTTTATGTAACTATAGAAATATTATTAAAAATATATGCAAGTTGTAGTTTTTGACACAAATAAAAAAAATTAACTATAGAGATTTTAAAGAGTAGGTCGAAAAAAGTGTCCCGTAAATATGAACTAACCGAGAAAACCAGGAATTTATTTCAGTAACCAGACCGGTAACTCGTGTGTATTTACGGAACATACCCTAAGCTTGATTCATAGAATGACTTCCTTCCTCCCGTAGAAGATGAACAATACAAAAACCGTTGTGCTGTTTAAAGATTCCGGTACGGAAATCTATAAATGGTACTACGATTTTCGAATTGTTCATCTTTTACGGGAGGAAGGAAGAAAGGAAGGCAATCTATAAATCAGGCTTTACATTATAACTAGTTTAGTTTGTTTTAATCAATGCAACCAATTTTGTTCCGTGTTTACCAACCAAACCCCTTAATTTGAAAAAAAAATGAAGTTTACAAACATATCCATCAATTTTCTTGACAGCTATTTTAGCTGTTTAAAAGTTTGGTTATGTTTTTTACTGGAGAACCTCTGCCACCAGTTGTTTCAGTAAAATTATCTGCCGTGCATTTTTAAAATGTTAGTATTTACTACTGAGGTCAGTAACTGATTTCGGTATGCGAACATAACCAATCTAAAGACAAATTTGGTTAAAAATAAATTTGACGACTTCGCCCGCCTAAGAAAGCGAGGTTATGTTTTCGACAATCGTTGTTGCCGTAACTCCATCGCGTCGAGTTTTGGTGGCCGGGGGGTTGGAGTTTGAAGGCGGCTGTCAAGCGGGACAGATTATGTCGGAAGGTCGTTTGCCGACGAAAAGGTCGTCGACGGGGCGGAAGACGAGCGGCGCCGACGAGGAGCTGAGAAGACGCGAGAGTCAGAGCCGCCTCCCGGGAGGCGGCAGCACCAGCAGCAGCACCAGTTTGGTCGCCTCCGTGAGCAGCGGAGCCGTTCTGGCGCAGTCGCCGCGGGCCAGCGGTCAGAACTTGAACGCGCAAGGTTTAGATAAGGTCCCATACATTTTTTGCCATACTTTTTTTTTTTGATCATATGGTTCAGTTTAAGGATGGTAAGACTGTTTTTTTTTTCGTAGTTTTTATTCAATTGTAGGATACAATGCCTTGGTAAAATGTGTGATTTTTTGTTCTATAGGTCAACTACAATATTGTGAGTTTAATCTAACAAGTGTATTCAAACAAAATTAACTTGAATGTTTAAAAATGTAGTGTTCTTAAAACGGTTTTTTCATCTTCAACTCTTCCAGAATCATCATCAATTCCCAATACATTTTATTCCATTCTTTTTTTTTTTATCAAATGGTATAGTAAAAGTTAAGACTTTTTTTGGTTGGTTTTTATTCAATTGTAGGTACAATACCTACCTTGATAAAATGTGTGATTTTTGTTCTATAGGTCAACTTCAATATTGTGAGTTTAATCTAACAAGTGTATTCAAACAAAATTAACTTGGGGTTTAAAACGGTTTTTTCATCTTCAACTCTTCCAGAATCATCATCAATTCCCAATACATTTTATTCCATTCTTTTTTTTATCAAATGGTATAGTAAAAGTTAAGACTTTTTTTGGTTGGTTTTTATTCAATTGTAGGATCATCAGGTACAATACCTTGATAAAATGTGTGATTTTTGTTCTATAGGTCAACTTCAATATTGTGATTTTAATATAACAAGTGTATTCAAACAAAATTAACTTGGGGTTTAAAACGGTTTTTTCATCTTCAACTCTTCCAGAATCATCATCAATTCCCAATACATTTTATTCCATTCTTTTTTTTTATCAAATGGTATAGTAAAAGTTAAGACTTTCTTTGGTTGGTTTTTATTCAATTGTAGGATCATCAGGTACAATACCTTGATAAAATGTGTGATTTTTGTTCTATAGGTCAACTTCAATATTGTGATTTTAATATAACAAGTGTATTCAAACAAAATTAACTTGGGGTTTAAAACGGTTTTTTCATCTTCAACTCTTCCAGAATCATCATCAATTCCCAATACATTTTATTCCATTCTTTTTTTTTATCAAATGGTATAGTAAAAGTTAAGACTTTCTTTGGTTGGTTTTTATTCAATTGTAGGATCATCAGGTACAATACCTTGATAAAATGTGTGATTTTTGTTCTATAGGTCAACTTCAATATTGTGATTTTAATATAACAAGTGTATTCAAACAAAATTAACTTGGGGTTAATTAAAACGGTTTTGTCATCTTCAACTCTTCCAGAATCATCATCAATTCCTAATACATTTTATTTCATACTTCTTTTTGATCAAATTGTTTAGTAAAAGAATGGTAAGACTTTATTTGCTTGGTTTTTATTCAATTGTAGAATCATAAGGTAAAATGTGTAATTTTTTGTTCTATGGGTCAAATTCAATATTGTGATTTTAATCTAACAAGTGTATTCAAACAAAATTAACTTGGGGTTTAATTTAGTGTTCTTAATACTGTTTGTTCATCTTCAATCTTCCAGAATCATCATCAATTCCTAATACATTTTATTCCATATTTTGTTTTGTTTTTTATCAAATGGTTTTGTAAAAGAATGGTAAGACTTTTTTGCTTAGTTTTTATTCAATTGTAGGATCATCAGGTACAATACCTTGGTAAAATGTCTGATTTTTTTTATCTATATGTCAACTACAATATTGAGTTTTTACGAGTGCATTCAAACAAAATTAACTTGAGTGTTTAAAAATTCAGTGTTCTTAAAAAGGTTTTTTCATCTTGAACTCTTTCAGAATCATCATCAATTCCTAATACATTTTATTCCATATATATATATATATATATTTTTTTTTTGATCAAATGGTTTAGTAAAAGAATGTTAAAACTTTTTTGCTTGGTTTTTATTCAATTGTATGATCAGGTACAATACCTTGGTAAAATGTATGATTTTTTGTTCTATAGGTCAACTACAATATTGTGAGTTTAATCTAACAAGTGTATTCAAACAAAATTAACTTGAGTGTTTAAAAATTCAGTGTTCTTAACACGGTTTTTTTCATCTTCAACTCTTCCAGAATCATCATCAATTCACAATACATTTTATTCCATACTTTTTTTATCAAATGGTTTAGTAAAACAATGTTGAGACTTTTTTTGCTTGGTTTTTGTTCTATAGGTCAACTTTAATTTGTGATTTTAATCTAACAAAATTAACTTGGGGTATAAAAATTTAGTGTTCTTAATACTGTTTTTTTATCTTCAACTTTTCAAGAATCATCATCAATTCCTAATACATTTTATTTCATATTTTGTTTTTTTTTTAATCAATTGGTTTAGTAAAAGAATGATGAGACTTTTTTGCCTAGTTTTTATTCAATTGTAGGATCATCAGGTTCATAGGTCAACTACAATATTGTGAGTTTAATCTAGCAGGTGTATTCAAACAAAATTAACTTAAGTGTTTAAAAATTTAGTGTTCTTAAAACGGTTTTTTCATCTTCAAATTTTCCAGAATCATCATCAATTCCTAATACATTTTATTTCATACTTTTTTTTATCAAATGGTTTAGTAAAAGAATGGTAAGACTTTATTTGCTTGGTTTTTATTCAATTGTAGGATCATTTAGTGTTCTTAATACTGTTTGTTCATCTTCAATCTTCCAGAATCATAATCAATTCCTAATACATTTTATTCCATATTTTGTTTTGTTTTTTATCAAATGGTTTAAAATAATGGTAAGACGTTTTTTGCTTACTTTTTATTCAATTGTAGGATCATCAGGTACAATACCTTGGTAAAATGTTTAATTTTTTGTTCTATAGGTCAACTACAATAGTGTAATTTTAATCTAACAAGGGTATTCAAACAAAATTAACTTGGGGTTTAAAAATTTAGTGTTTTTAATACTGTTTTTCATTTTCAATCTTCCAGAATCATTATCAATTCCTAATACATTTTATTTCATGTTTTGTTTTTTTTTATCAAATGGTTTAGTAAAAGAATGGTGAGACTTTTTTGCTTGGTTTTTATTCAATTGTAGGATTATCAGGAACCTTGGTAAAATGTGTGATTTTTTGTTCTATAGGTCAACTACAATAATGTGATTTTAATCTAACAAGTGTAACAAAAACAATATCTTGAGTGTTTAAAAATTTAGTGTTCTTAAAACTGTTTCTTTCATCTTCAACTCTTCCAGAATCATCATCAATTCCTCCAAAACCATTAAATGCTTGACACCGTAAATATTTCTGAAATACGTCACAACTTTATATCATCAATAACATTTTTTTTTCTTAATCTTCTAGGTGCCCGAAGAATGTTCGGCGCTGGTGCCGCAGACGACGGGCGGAAGTACGGAAGATGTGGCCGCAGCAGCGGCGGCTGCGGCGGATCCTGACGCCGGAAACGACGACAAGGACTCGGACAAGGACGCCAAAAAGAAAAAGAACCGCTGCGCCACCTGCCGTAAGAAGGTGGGATTAACAGGTGAGATGAAAAAAAAATGTTAAAATAATCCTGGTTCTGCAGGCATCTAATTTCGGACCATTATATTTTTTATACTAGCGAATGAATGAAATATGATTTCCAATGATTTTCCAAATATTTCATTTTATTGTTACAGTAGGAAAAACTAAAGGACGATTTACACGATTTTACAGATTTTCGGTATAGTTTTATTACAATTTTGATTTTCCCATTTTTTTAAATTTAAGTTAATACAGTGGGACCCATTTGTTAGCGACTCACTCCTGTAAAATCTTTATATATTGTGCGATTTTAACCGGATTTGTTTTAAAGTTGTTTTTTTATGTATTCATATAAGCGATTTAAAAAAAAATCTATGCACGGCACTGGATTCACCACCCCTCAAAACGACATTTCTATTCAAATTAAAAATTAACATTAATAACTATTTACAAAATTTACTCTGTCAAATTATCCATGAAAAAAACATTGAAATAAAATTAAACTAATAGTAATATGGTATTAATATTCCCATGCTTAGTTTTGACAAACAAAAAACGCAATGGAAACTTAAAAAAACAATGAAACAAAAAATAGAGGAGTTAGATTTTGGTCACCTCTACTACACAAGAACTACGATCAAGGGTAATACAATCCTGCGCAGCAATTAATAATAATAATAAATTTTGGAATTCTCTGTTTTATTGTTGTTTTAAGTTTATTTGCGTTTTTTTTTGTCAAAACTAAGCATGGGAATATTAATACCATATTACTATTAGTTTAATTTTATTTCAATGTTTTTTTCATGGATAACATGACAGTAAATTTTTGTAAATAAATTTATATAGTTCATTTTTAATTTGGCCACAAAATCGTTCCTACTTAAAAAATTTCAATAAAACTTAGTATCGGGTCGTTTTAAGTGGTGTTGAATCCAGTGCCAGGCTTAGATTTTGTTTTAAAAAAATCGCTAATATGAATTCTTAAAAATTTACTCTTAAAAACTGACATAGTAGGCCTTGTATTTTGTAAAAATATGGCTTGCTTCAAAAATACAGTTTATCAAGATCTACACTTTAAAACAAATCCGGTTAAAATCGCACAATAAATAAAGATTTTACAGGGGTGAGTCGCAAACAAATGGGTCAGACTTTAAAGTAAATATAACAAGTTAATAATATTCCTAATGGTTTTATTATTATAACAAAAAAGGCAATATGTGAAGAAGAAAAAAATAAAATCGTTTAAGATAATATTTTTTGTATTATCCAACCTGGGACAAGTAGATACTATTTTTAATTGATATAGCAAAAGAATATTTTAAGTGTATTTTGTTGCGATTTTGTTAATTGTTTCGTATCGCGGCTTTAAAAAAAGTTTCTTTTTGGAAATGGCTCAAAATGGTTTATTAAAAAAAAACTTTGTACAAAAACTGGGGGACAATGTTTTTAATACTATTTTTATAAACAAATGGTCGACTCTAACCTACTTAACCATCTTAAAATTTAAAGATTTTTATTTGAAATTTTTGACTCAAAAACAAGTTTTAAATATTTCGTCTTAACATTTTTTTTTTGGAAATTCTCAGAAAACTTTAGGGCCATTTCAATCACAAAACTGTTTTTATTAAAAAAACTTTTAGGTAATTTATTATACAGGGTGTCCGGGAAAAGGAGGTCAATCCGTTAACCATATATTCCTTGAGTTAAAACAATAAGACTTTCATAATACCATTTTTCAATTTAGAGCTTTATGTTTGATATACAGGGTGACAAAGTTTGAAATTTAAAACTGTTTTTTTTAATAATTTGAGTAATTGATAAGATATTAAGTTTAAATTCGGTACACTTCTTCAACATAAATAGTTACATTTTTTGAGACCAACAAAACAAAAAACAATTCTTAAATAATCAAAATAGGGGGGTCCAGTACTCACTGACTCCCCCTATTTTTTAGTACGTGCGCCAATGACTTCCAAACGGTATTTTTTCAGGTAATCATTTATTGTTAAAAAAAATTTGTCTAATTTTGATAAAATGATTTGTTTTAGAGATAATTTGTAAAGTATGGGTCAGTCCATATCAAATCAACCAAAGGTTCTTCCCCCACCATCTCCGATTTTGATAATTTTTGGTAAATTTGTTTACCTCACTAAAAAACTCAAAAATCCCATATATGATTTTTTTTCGATAGGTGGTTTTTGTTTTATTGATTTTTGAAAATCAAAAAATTCCGATAAATTTGGGTCTTGCAAGTACTTACAAAAATATCGATATCTCGTAAACTATTAAAAGTATAAAGGTGAGTGATGGCTTATTTTAAAGGCCTATTAGAGACCTTTTTTATGATATATCACAGGACCTAAATTTTTTCAAAAAAAAAAAATTAAATTTCGAAAATTTGATATGGACTGACCCATACTTTACAAATTATCTCTAAAACAAATCATTTTATCAAAATTCTATAAGAGACAAAAAATTTTCAACAATAAATGATTACCTGAAAAAATACTGTTTGGAAGTCATTGGCGCACGTACTAAAAAAAAAAGAGGGAATCAGTGAGTACTGGACCCCCCTATTTTGATTATTTGACAATTGTTTTTTGTTTTGTTGGTCTTAAAAAATTTAACTATTTATGTTGAAGTAGTGTACCGAATTTAAACTTAATTAATTTAAACTTAATATCTTATCAATTACTCGAATTATTAAAAAAATCAGTTTTAAATTTCAAACTTTGTCGCCCTGTATATCGAACATGAAGCTCTAAATTGAAAAATGGTATTATGAAAGTCTTATTGTTTTAACTCAAGGAATATATGGTTAACGGATTGACCTCCTTTTCCCGGACACCCTGTATATTATTTTGGCATCAAAATTGTCAAAAATATTTTTTTTTTATTCAGCTATATATGTATAAAAGAAACGCAAGAATTATTTAAAAAAAAGTAGAGATAATTTTAATAATGAGCAGTTGTGGACGAGACAAAAGAAACCTTTTTTGCCCCGTCCACAGCTGTCCATTATTAAAATTATCTCTACTTTATTAAAATATTTCTTGCGTTTCTTTTATTTAAAAACTGTTTAAAACACCCTTCTCCAGTTTTTCTATACAAGTTTTTAAAAAAACGTGCATTTTAAGATAATTTATTTAAAAATCACATCAATTTTGCATGAGCTTAGCGAAGCTAATTTGAAGTTGGTGGTGCAAAATTTGCCGTTTTTAGTCGCTTATTAGTAGTAAAAAAATTAATTTTGTTTTTAGCTCGTGGGCAAGGTTATCGTTTAAGCCTACATCATCGTCGAAACGAAACGAATTTAGTGTACTAAATTAGTTCACATTTAGGGCTGTGCGAAATATTCTCGAAACATTTATAACTTGTTTTTTAATATTTCCGGAATTGGTTTAATATAAAATTACCCGGGGCGTTTTTATAATAAACAAATCTTGTAAAATAAGTCAGTCGCGCGGAATTGTGCTGCATTGACCAATAATAATAATAAGTCTTGTTTGGGCAATATTATATTAAATGATTCAATTAAGATAATTTTTTCGTAAAACCTCACAGGATTTGTTTGAAATTTTTTCTTTTCTTTTCGTAGGTTTCGAGTGTCGATGCGGGGGTCTGTTCTGCGCGGTGCACCGGTACAGCGACAAGCACGACTGCAGTTTCAACTATCGCGAGATGGGCGCGCAGGAGATCCGACGCAACAATCCTGTAGTCGTCGGCGAGAAAATCCAAAAAATATGAACCCCGCCACTGTGTGCCATGCGCACGCGCCCCCCTCCCCCCACCTCGTCGTCTACGCCCTCCCCACCCTCTCGTCACTGACTGAATCAAGCAAAAAAAATTATATAATATATACATATATTACCAAGGAAAATCGATGATGGATGCAACAACCGCAAAAACAAAAAAAAGGACGCTGCTTTATCGGCCGCGCGCGCGCAAAAACTAGTGTGTAAAGACAAGTGAGTGAAAAACTTTTATTAAATTGCCCCCCCCCCCCAACAACACAACAATCAAACACACACTCAAATTCTCTGTCATTTAGTTTTATTTTCGATTTAATAAATAAATTTATAGGTACTTGTCGTTTTTAGCCTTCTTCCGATGAAGTTATTCAATCCGGGCCTAAACCAACAAAAAACACGCGACTTTTTTCTTTTGACATTTAAAATGCCCTGGACAAGCTCGCAAATTTTCTTTTATTTTGGGAATTTGCCACAAAAATGCTTTTTCAACTGGAAAACACTTTTTTTTGATAAAGTTAAAATTAACTTTTTAAATTTCAATTTTATCGTAAAAATGCGTTTTATCGTCCTTAAAAGCGTCTTAACGCGATTCTTTTCTTTATGAGAAGATTTTAACCCCGCAAATTTTCTTTTATTTTTGAAATTTTTCACAAAAATGCTTTTTGAACTACAAAACACATTTTTTTGATAAAATTAAAAAATTGGTTAAAGATAACTTTAAATTTCAATTTTATCGTAAAAATGCGTTTTATCGTCCTAAAAAGCGATTTTAACGCGATTATATTATGGGAAATTTGTGAGCGAGCCAGGGGACTGTACGTTGACATTGTATCTGTCAAACACCGTTTTAGGTAAGGTTTGTTTTTTGTTCGTCCGCCGCCCCTTATTATTCTTTTGTTTCTGTATATATTCGAGATAAATTTGTTATTCATATTCGAGTTGTCGTCCAATTGGCCGGGGCAAAACATGCTGACTACATTGCTTTACGTGAATTAAAAAAAATGGAACAGTTAATTTTTTGAACTTGAAAAAAATTAGCTGCCCCATTATAATTGATTTTAATGTTGTTATATTACTTTGACATTTTAATACCCCCTTATCTTGTGGTTTGCCCCCCCCCAATTCGAGCGGCAATTTCGCTACGGAATCAGGTTATTGAATTAGTTTTTCTTCTTTTTGTTTTCTTCTGTGCAAATATTACTAGTGATATATAAAAAACTATCGGGTCGCAAACAAAAAAGTGTTCTTTGGGAAAAATAACGTGTCGTGATGTGCAACAAGAAATGAAAAATTCGGGAGTGTTAATTTGTGAATTTAGATTATTATGTTAATTAAAAATGTAAGCGTGTTGAACGAGTATGCCACACGGAAGAAACGAAAAATGCGAGGTTATGTTTGCCGTTTTCATTAATTTTTCCCTTCACCACAATTTTCTTCCGTTTGGCAGACTTTGGAACACTTGTAACAAATATTAATAAATTCTTCAATCAATTTTGTTGGTAAGAAATTTTGGGGAAAAACGTCAAATTTAACATCACTTTGAAAAGTGACGTTTAAAATGTCAAACGCTACGCTTGGCACTCTTAAACGTCACAGTTTGTTTGTTTTGACATTTGAAATGTCAAATTTGACATTTCAACCGTCAAAAAATATTGTTTGTTGACTTTTTTCGTTAAAATTGGTACACTTGCTTATACTTGTACATTGTTTCTTGTTTTCACGAGATTTTTGACAGTTTGTTAATGGGCTTTTCAATGTTTATAGAGTTTTTCGAATTATTATATCTTTCCGTAACTATGCTATGTAGATACAAATTCCACATAATATATTCATAATAAATATATATCTAAACGATGTTCATCATTCTTTATTAATTATTATTATTTTCTCTCTTCACAAACTGTATATGGAGCATTCCATGACCCCTTTCAATTTGGCTATAACTTTTTTTCTACCCAAAAACATTTTTCAGATTTTTTTACCCAACCAAAAAAAAGTTTTTCAAAAAATGCCGAAAACTTTTTGATTGTCATTTTTAATTTTCTTTTTTTTATTAGAATCTAAGATTAACTACAAAATCTCTGAAATTTTCAGTGGCGTTTTTTGTTTTTTATTTCTTTTTCAATAATTAAAAAAATTAAATTTAAATTGGTAAACATTTCAATGTTTTTTTAAAAAGTAAGAAAAAACATAAAAGAATATTTCCAAAAGCAAAGAAAATATAAAATGATTTTATATTCAATAGCTATAAATATAATAAATAAAATTATTTAATAAACTATATTGTTAGTAATTAACCAAAAAAAGCGAATTTAAAAAAATACATGTAACGAATTCCTTCAAAAAATTAACCACTTAAAATTTTTTAAAAGCCTATTGTTTGTCCAAAAGGAACCAAATTACATTTTTTAACTTAATATATATTTTTTATTAAATTTATTTTTTTTCCAAACTTTGAGGTTCTCTCTATACATCCTAAAAAATCTCCAGAGTGGTATTATAAGAAATAGGTTGTGTAAAAAATTGAAAAAAAAAGAAAACAAAAATGTTTCTAATAAAAAAAAACTAAAAATGACTATCAAGAATTTTTTTTTTTCGAATTTTAAAAAAAACGTTGAAGATAGGTCTGAATATTTTTCTTTATAAAAAGTACATATAAAATCTGAAAAATGTTTTTGAAAGGATAAAAAAGTTTTAGCCAAATCAAAAGGGGTCGATTTGGCGTGGAACGACCCATATATTCTAGTTTAATTGAGTTTATTCCGACGATTACATTATTTTGTTTTTGGTTTGTTTCCATTGGAATTTATGCCATTTTTTTTAAGACTCAAACTGTTCTGGAAACGTTGCGTATTGTGTAAATAAATACTAAAACATGATTAAATGACAAGGTATAGTCTTTTAACTGAGTGAAAAAAGGGGGGAAATTAAAACCCTTACGAAAAAATATTAAAAATAATATTTTATTATTTATATTTACACCAAACACAAGGTGTTCACAAAATCCTGTACAAAATGATACCACTACACAAAAGTTGATAATAACCAAGATACAGGTTGTCAAAGTTGAAGTTTTCGATTTTATTAAATAAGTTTGGAGAAAACAAACGTTTTTTACAAAATTTGATTTTTGGGGGTTTTTCAGGCCTGGAAATTAAATTAATGTAGGTTGTAGAGGGTTTTACTTTTGCCCGCTCTTTTTCAGTCATTAAACAGACTATAGACTAAAATAAATTGCAACGAAAATAAACCAAAATTTCCCCCCAAAAAAATCCTTCAATTTCACTGATGGACTTATTGTTGAAATGTGGTTTGTATTTAATCAGATGTTAGTGTAACAAACAAATTGACAAATTGTAAATAGTTAAACAAAATAATTAAATAAATAAACAGAAAGATTTAACATACAGTAAAGAAATAAAATAATAATCTACATAGACTCTGTTTTAATTTTTCTAAAGAACTATCAGTTGATCAGATACAAACTTTTATGATTATTATTATTCTATTATTATTATTATTATTATAAGTATCGCCATATGTATGGCAATGTCTAATAAATCTATTATGAAAATTTAATAAGACTTTTATTTAACTATTGCAATATTCAAAAGGTCATTCCAAAGAAATCAAAAAAACATTTAATATTGGCTCAACAATTGTTTGCAACACTGAATAAATAAAATGTTTAATTATTTATACAGGGTGTCCTGAAGTATAAAAAATTCAAACAGAAGTTATTAGGTAAGCATTAAAGTTAAAAAAACTGGCAACGCCATGTATTTCCAATCCAATATATCACATCTATTTATAAGGGTTGTTATGGAAACAAAATAAACAATGCAGCTATCTGAACTTATAAAAAAAAAACCTAATTTGTGAAACGTCCTTGAAAATATGTACACTAGGTGCACCAAGTATCCTATGTATGGGTATCTTTTTTATTTGAAGAGCTACAAAGTCAGTTACATTAGTCAAAAGTTGCCTAATTACAAGTCCATTAAAATGGCATTTGAAAACTGGGAAAAAATCGGCGGTTCTTGAATAATTTGAGAAAAACTGAAAACCTGTCAAAACCAAAAATCGTTATAAATGTTAAAAAATTTTATCCTTTTTTCGCATGCTATATTTTGAGATACCACCACCATCTTTTGTTTTTCCCATGGCCGCCATATTGTAATTTGAAATGGTTAGATAGAAAAAAAATCAAGGAATCCAATGATGTATCAAACTACATCAGTTATGGCGCCATTATAAAACAATAGACAAGACTTTTTTTTAAATTCCCAAGAATAACGAAGTAATTACGCAACTTTTCTCTAATTTAACTGAACTTGTCAAATAAAAAAATACCGATAGAAAGATTCTTGGTGCACCCTGTATATAACGGTTTAAACTTAAATTTTATTTTAATTTTTTAATGAAGTTTCAAATATAAAAAGTTAAAAATTTCCCTAAGCTATCAACTCACTTTTAAATTTTACCCCTTTTGTTTTGGATGGAATTTTGATGTTATACTACCTACCCCTTTAAAACATTTTCAATAATTTGTATCCAACCAAAAAAAATTAACAAATTACAAAACAAATGTAACTTAAACATCTATAAAAACGGATTAATTGAGACGTTTTTGTTGTTTTAAACGTATTATTAATAACAAATACAAACAAAATATTCAACTTTAGTGGTATTCCATGATATTTTTCTGTTTTTCAGAAAAAAACATTAATTTCACAATAAAAACAAAGTTAAATTGCGAAAACTAAAAAAAATTGGCCCAACATAGGATTTGCACCATTAAACCAGAATAAGTCTTTTTGAAAATAAAAGCAAATGACTAATTTCGAAAAATTAATGTTTTTTTATAACTGAAATTTTTATTCAAACATTATTATATAGTGTTCTTGAATTTAACCTTAATTTTTTTTTTTCATGAAAACTAGGTACGTTTTTAAATGAAAAATATAAAAAAGCGGTTCAAATTAGTCAGTTTTCAAAAAATTGAACATTTAAATCACCATTCTATAATAATACACCTTAGGTTTTTAGTGGAGTAGTATAACATACAAATTTTATCCAACCTAGTTAAAAAGTGGCGTGGAATTTACATTAAAAAAAAATACTTAATATAACGCCCCTATAGTTGAATTTTTATAATCGGTTTTTGACATTTTACATTGATGACTTAAGGGCCAAGTTTACAAATTTAATCGCCGACGGTGGTCTAGTGGTTATAACTATAGTGCTACTGACTAAAAGCCGGAGGTCGTGGGTTCGAATCCCACCAGGGGTATGGCTGTTTATTTGTGTTTGTCCTATTGTGTATTAGTCCTTCGGAGGGGACTTTAAGCCCGCGGTCCGTTCCTACCCCTAACCCGCACAAGCCATTCAGTTGGCTTATGGGACTTCTTAAGAAGTAAGGGTGGAACTAAAAGAGCACTTTTGTATAAACTTTAAAACTGAAGTTCGTATTTATTTTATTCAGAATTTGACACATTTGATTTTGTTGGTATTGTAAATATGTAGTAGCGTGGCATGCTTTATTGTTTATGGCGATTGACGTATGTCAAAAAATCGGTCTTTGACATTTTACATTGATGACGTAAGGGCCAAGTTTATAAATTCATCTGAAGTTCGTATTTTTTTTATTCCGAATTTGACGCATTTGATTTTGTTGGTATTGTAAATATGTTAATATGCTTTTAATATTTAAAATAGGTACTTCTTTTTAAGCCCTTAAGGTTACAAATTTTGACTGTCAGAATTATAGTAAACATACATGTGTATTTGTTCGCTGGGAATGTAAATTTGCCTCTTTTGGGCCATATTTCATCAAAGGTTTTTTAACAACTTTTATTTGACATTTTAAAATTTATATATAAACATTCTTAAAATTATAAGAGAGCCATAATTATATTCTCCACTAAGCTTGTTTGTTCTACTCAATGTAACCAATTATAAATTTAGGGTCCTTAGAATTTGCCAACTAAACCCCGACATTTTTACTTTGTCAAATTCCGAATAAAAACGAACTGTATCTATAATTTTTGGAACGCCCTGTATATAAGGGAAGTTTGCTTTGGTATCTATCAGTTTGAAACAAAGTCTTTGAGTTGCTATATGATGCAAACATTCGTTAAAGTAAAACATTTATTTTCCCAATATTAAAAACAAAGTTTCAATCCCTTAAAAGTTCGTTTTAAAACATTAAACAAGGTATGTATATAAATATATTTTAATTCTTAATTTTTTAAGGTTAACTCTAAAAATTCTATTGCCAAGTTTTATTGTATCCCTTATTATTTGGTTTTATCATAGGAGAAAAATCAAACAAAAATGTGATAATATAAATAAAACGCATTTATTAAATACACTTAAAAATCTCAACAGATAAAATACACACTGTGTCCAACACTCGGCATCATCAAAAACCTAAACTAAAATAGTTAATAGCACACTAAAAGCCATAAACATAACTACCGATAAATCTTTTCATCGGACGGGAAAGCTATAAAATATGGCTGCTGCTGCTGGTTGTTCTGGTAGTAAGGCACTCTACCCATGGTGCTGTAATTCGAGGGCCTCATCGTCTGCGGGCCCGCACCCAAAGTCGACATTTTATGCGGCAACGTGGACGCGTATCCAGGGCCGTACGCGTAGACGGGTGGCGCCCCCCCTTTAACGCTGCACGCGCACGAACTACCCGGCCCCATTACAGGCATCACCGGGGTACCGTTGGGTAAAGTACCGCCTCTGTACTGGTTGCTGGTCATGCGCAAGCGTATTATGCAGATTATTATGATCAGGATGGCTATGAAGGCCACTACACCGCCTACTATGCCTATTATTAGGGTGTCGTCGTTGTTTAACGTGGTTTGACCTGCGATTGGTTTCTTTGGGGTCGCCTTGGACTTCTCTGTGGCAGGAGGTAAGCTCCAGATGATCTCGGGTTCTGTTGTTTTACTCAACGGTCTTGTATTTCTGGTGAACAAAGTCGTACTTTGCGTGGTAGTGGTGGTAGTTACTTTTCTGGGATCACAGGTTAATTCATCATCACCAATCTCAACCAATAACCTTCCAATTAAATGCTCCGGTCCAGAACACATAATCGTAGTCATATGGCTGGGCAACCACCTCCTCAACGCTCTAGCACTGCAGTCGCAAATTATTGGGTTGGACTCCAAACCCTGTATCCTCAAATCACCTCTTCTATCCTCCAAGGTGGCCAAAATTTGCGGACTCAAAGTGCTCAAGTCACTTCCAGTTACATCCAAATTAATCCTGGAAGATCTTGGTACAGAGAAAAACAATGCAGGTGGTAGGGAGGTCAGTGAAGTATTCATCAAATTAATCTTCATGCAATCAGCTTTGATCCCCGATAGAGCCCCAGATGAAATACTTTTTAATCTTTCCCCTCTAATCCCCAACTCCCTCAACCGCGGATGCAAAACAGTTACAAGTTGATCACTACCAATAGCTGAATCCTTAGTTTCGATGTTAACCCTCTCCAAAGCGGGCACATTTTGTAAAACACCTTGTATATCCAAGTAACCCAGCTTGGGGTAATCATACGCGTCCAATTCCGAAAGACTCGGCACAGATTTGAAGGCGTTTTTCTCGATTCTCACAACTTCGACCAGCGAATGCATGGAGAGGTATTTCAAAGCGTCCAGACCATCAAAGTCGCGTTGAGATACGGAGTTGATTGGGTTGGACGATATGTTTAAAGATTGTAAATTGTGTAACATGTCCCATATCTTTGGGTAGTTACTTACGTCGTTTATTTTGTTATTAGACAGATCTAGAGTTTCCAATAAGGTGGTTCTTTCGAAAATCTTTTCGTTAAGGTGCGAAATATTTTTGTGGGATAAGTTCAAGTAGTTCAGGAATGGTGTTTCAAGATTTGCCACGTCTGTAATACCAGTTCCAGCTAAATTCAGAGCTCTAACCGTTTTAGGCTTGCCCAAAACATTTGTTACAGCCTCTGAACTCAACGGATTAAAAGATAAGTCAAGATTTTTTATATTAATCATAATACTATCATCAGCTGGTGTATCTTTTAGCTTGTTGCGAGATAAATCTATCGATTTAATTTTTAAAAAAGTTATGTAAATAAATATTTAAATTCTTAATTTTTTTACTATAAAAATACTATTGCCAAGTTTTCTTGGATCACTTACTTTTTGTTTTTATCATAGGAGAAAAATCAAACAAGAATGTGGTAATATAAATAAAACGCATTTATTAAATACACTTAAAAATCTCAACAGATAAAATACACACTGTGTCCAACACTCGGCATCATCAAAAACCTAAACTAAAATAGTTAATAGCACACTAAAAGCCATAAACATAACTACCGATAAATCTTCTCATCGGACGGGAAAGCTATAAAATATGGCTGCTGCTGCTGGTTGTTCTGGTAGTAAGGCACTCTACCCATGGTGCTGTAATTCGAGGGCCTCATCGTCTGCGGGCCCGCACCCAAAGTCGACATTTTATGCGGCAACGTGGACGCGTATCCAGGGCCGTACGCGTAGACGGGTGGCGCCCCCCCTTTAACGCTGCACGCGCACGAACTACCCGGCCCCATTACAGGCATCACCGGGGTACCGTTGGGTAAAGTACCGCCTCTGTACTGGTTGCTGGTCATGCGCAAGCGTATTATGCAAATTATTATGATCAGAATGGCTATGAAGGCCACTACACCGCCTACTATGCCTATTATTAGGGTGTCGTCGTTGTTTAACGTGGTTTGACCTGCGATTGGTTTCTTTGGGGTCGCCTTGGACTTCTCTGTGGCAGGAGGTAAGCTCCAGATTATCTCGGGTTCTGTTGTTTTACTCAACGGTCTTGTATTTCTGGTGAACAAAGTCGTACTTTGCGTGGTAGTGGTGGTAGTTACTTTCCTGGGATCACAGGTTAATTCATCATCACCAATCTCAACCAATAACCTTCCAATTAAATGCTCAGGTCCAGAACACATAATCGTAGTCATATGGCTGGGCAACCACCTCCTCAACGCTCTGGCACTGCAGTCGCAAATTATTGGGTTGGACTCCAAACCCTGTATCCTCAAATCTCCTCTTCTATCCTCCAAGGTGGCCAAAATTTGCGGACTCAAGGTGCTCAAGTCACTTCCAGTTACATCCAAATTAATCCTGGAAGATCTTGGTACAGAGAAAAACAATGCAGGTGGTAGGGAGGTCAGTGAAGTATTCATCAAATTAATCTTCATGCAATCAGCTTTGATCCCCGATAGAGCCCCAGATGAAATACTTTTTAATCTTTCCCCTCTAATCCCTAACTCCCTCAACCGCGGATGCAAAACAGTTATGAGTTGATCACTACCAATAGCTGAATCCTTAGTTTCAATGTTAACCCTCTCCAAAGCGGGCACATTTTGTAAAACACCTTGTATATCCAAGTAACCCAGCTTGGGGTAATCATACGCGTCCAATTCCGAAAGACTCGGCACAGATTTGAAGGCGTTTTTCTCGATTCTCACAACTTCGACCAGCGAATGCATGGAGAGGTATTTCAAAGCGTCCAGACCATCAAAGTCGCGTTGAGATACGGAGTTGATTGGGTTGGACGATATGTTTAAAGATTGTAAATTGTGTAACATGTCCCATATCTTTGGGTAGTTACTTACGTCGTTTATTTTGTTATTAGACAGATCTAGAGTTTCCAATAAGGTGGTTCTTTCGAAAATCTTTTCGTTAAGGTGCGAAATATTTTTGTGGGATAAGTTCAAGTAGTTCAGGAATGGTGTTTCAAGATTTGCCACGTCTGTAATACCAGTTCCAGCTAAATTCAGAGCTCTAACCGTTTTAGGCTTGCCCAAAACATTTGTTACAGCCTCTGAACTCAACGGATTAAAAGATAAGTCAAGATTTTTTATATTAATCATAATACTATCATCAGCTGGTGTATCTTTTAGCTTGTTGCGAGATAAATCTATCGATTTAATTTTTAAAAAAGTTATGTAAATAAATATTTAAATTCTTAATTTTTTTACTATAAAAATACTATTGCCAAGTTTTCTTGGATCACTTACTTTTTGTTTTTATCATAGGAGAAAAATCAAACAAGAATGTGGTAATATAAATAAAACGCATTTATTAAATACACTTAAAAATCTCAACAGATAAAATACACACTGTGTCCAACACTCGGCATCATCAAAAACCTAAACTAAAATAGTTAATAGCACACTAAAAGCCATAAACATAACTACCGATAAATCTTCTCATCGGACGGGAAAGCTATAAAATATGGCTGCTGCTGCTGGTTGTTCTGGTAGTAAGGCACTCTACCCATGGTGCTGTAATTCGAGGGCCTCATCGTCTGCGGGCCCGCACCCAAAGTCGACATTTTATGCGGCAACGTGGACGCGTATCCAGGGCCGTACGCGTAGACGGGTGGCGCCCCCCCTTTAACGCTGCACGCGCACGAACTACCCGGCCCCATTACAGGCATCACCGGGGTACCGTTGGGTAAAGTACCGCCTCTGTACTGGTTGCTGGTCATGCGCAAGCGTATTATGCAAATTATTATGATCAGAATGGCTATGAAGGCCACTACACCGCCTACTATGCCTATTATTAGGGTGTCGTCGTTGTTTAACGTGGTTTGACCTGCGATTGGTTTCTTTGGGGTCGCCTTGGACTTCTCTGTGGCAGGAGGTAAGCTCCAGATTATCTCGGGTTCTGTTGTTTTACTCAACGGTCTTGTATTTCTGGTGAACAAAGTCGTACTTTGCGTGGTAGTGGTGGTAGTTACTTTCCTGGGATCACAGGTTAATTCATCATCACCAATCTCAACCAATAACCTTCCAATTAAATGCTCAGGTCCAGAACACATAATCGTAGTCATATGGCTGGGCAACCACCTCCTCAACGCTCTGGCACTGCAGTCGCAAATTATTGGGTTGGACTCCAAACCCTGTATCCTCAAATCTCCTCTTCTATCCTCCAAGGTGGCCAAAATTTGCGGACTCAAGGTGCTCAAGTCACTTCCAGTTACATCCAAATTAATCCTGGAAGATCTTGGTACAGAGAAAAACAATGCAGGTGGTAGGGAGGTCAGTGAAGTATTCATCAAATTAATCTTCATGCAATCAGCTTTGATCCCCGATAGAGCCCCAGATGAAATACTTTTTAATCTTTCCCCTCTAATCCCTAACTCCCTCAACCGCGGATGCAAAACAGTTATGAGTTGATCACTACCAATAGCTGAATCCTTAGTTTCAATGTTAACCCTCTCCAAAGCGGGCACATTTTGTAAAACACCTTGTATATCCAAGTAACCCAGCTTGGGGTAATCATACGCGTCCAATTCCGAAAGACTCGGCACAGATTTGAAGGCGTTTTTCTCGATTCTCACAACTTCGACCAGCGAATGCATGGAGAGGTATTTCAAAGCGTCCAGACCATCAAAGTCGCGTTGAGATACGGAGTTGATTGGGTTGGACGATATGTTTAAAGATTGTAAATTGTGTAACATGTCCCATATCTTTGGATAGTTACTTACGTCGTTTATTTTGTTATTGGACAGATCTAGAGTTTCCAATAAGGTGGTTCTTTCGAAAATCTTTTCGTTAAGGTGCGAAATATTGTTGTGGGATAAGTTCAAGTAGTTCAGGAAAGGTGTTTCAAGATTTGCCACGTCTGTAATACCAGTTCCAGCTAAATTGAGCGCTCTAACAGTTTTAGGTTCGCCCAAAACATTTGTTACAGCTTCCGAACTCAACGGATTAAAAGATAAGTCGAGATTTTTAATATTAACCATAATACTATCATCGGCTGGTATATCTTTTAGCTTGTTGTGAGATAAATCCACCGATGAAACAAAGAAATATTGCCTTTGTAACGACTTTAAAGGTGCCACTTCAAACTTATTCCTAGCCAAATTTATGTTCTCCAACATCTGTATCCTCGCCCTCTCAAATATAGTCTCCGGCAAATCACTCAAAACGTTCCCCTCCAAATCCAACATCTCCAACCTGACCAACCCCTCGAAAGTCCTCTCACTAAGCCTATCGAGTTTGTTGTAACTCAAATCCAATATCTGCAACTGCGTCGAGTTGTGGAAAGCCATCTCGCTCACAGACTCCAAGTTGTTCCTCGCCAATAGTAGGGACCGTAAACGTGGCAAGCGCGCGAAATCCAACTCGTCCACCGTTTTTAACGCGTTGCCAGATAGATCGACGTAGTTCAAGAACTGCAGAGTCGCTATGAGCTCGGCGGGGAAGAAATTAAACTTGTTGTTGGAGGCTTTTAGTTCTTTAAGTCTTGGATGTATTCTGAACGACGACGGGAATAGATAGGAGAGTTGGTTATCGGATATATCCAAGAACTCCAAACTGGTTCCGGTGTTGAAGAATTCCCCTTTGAAGGAACTCAATTGGTTACCTTTGAGGTTAAGTCTTTTTATGTTCATTACGTTTACGAACGCGCTTGGTCTGATGTTGCTAATGGAGTTATAAGAGAGATCTACAGATGTTAGGTTGAGTAGGTTGGAGAAGGCGCCATCGGATAATTCTGTAATATCATTATTAGATAAACAAATTTCCTTGATGCGGGCTGATTTCGCTGTAAACTCATTTGGTATCATCTTAAGGCCTGTATGACTTAAGTCTAGTACTTCAAGTGCTGTTAATTTATGCAGCAAATTCTGCGGAACAGACGTTAGGTGAGTGTTGTGACTCAAATTTAAATGCTTCAGTTCTGGAAGTGATGCAAAAACGTTCCTGGGGAGTTCATATAACTCATTTTCACTCAAATCCAAAGTCCTCAACTTCAGTAACGCTATAGGCTGACCAGATATACTATTTATCCTATTCTCAGATAAATACAAGTGCATTAAAGTATTCTCCAAACCTTGGAAGGCATCTGTGTTCAGAGTCGTCAATAAATTCCTCGTTAAATCCAAATATTCCAACTGCTGGAAATACTGGAATGACGCTGTAGGTAACTCTCTGACGACGTTTTTCGCCAAAACCAGCGTGGTCACTTTTTCTGCGATGCTTTTGAAGATATCTCCCGATAATGCTGCCACTCTGTTATAGTCCAGCTGCAGTGAAGCCAGCTTTGGTAGTCTGCCCAAAGCTGAAGCCGGGATTAGCAGAATATTGTTGTCCTTCAAATTGAGGCGTTCCAGGTTGTTAAGGCCCTCAAAAGCGTCATCTTCAATCTAAAAAATGAAAATGTGTTATCGGTTTATTATGCTGTTTTTTTCTTACTGTTCTAAGGGAATTGACGCTGATATCAAGGGATCTCAGCTGTTTTAGGCCCAAGAAAGTTCCTGGTGATATGTTGCCCAAATTATTTCTGCTTAGGTTCAATTCGTATAAACTGGTTAACGATTTCAGATCATTATAGTCCAAACTCTAAAAAAAACAGTTACCTAGGTGGTAATGATTATGTAGTATTAACTAACCTGTATCAAATTCGATGACAAATTCAGATATCTCAGGCTACCAAACGCTTTCAAAGCTATGGATGGAAACTCCTGTATGAAATTTTTCGATAGATCAAGAAGCATTAGGTTGTCTGCACCTTGAAAAACATCACTGTTGAATCTAGAAAGCCTATTGTGGGCTATGTTGAGTTTTCGTAGGTTTTGTAAGCCTTCGAATGCGCCTCCTTCAATGGTGGATATGATGTTGTTTTGAAGGTTTATGTATACTAGGTTTTGTTGGGAGATAAAGGCGTCACTCTTGATCATGTCTGGAAAGAAAAAAGTATACCTACATTACACAGGTCAACAGCTATTTTGCTGCAGAATAAAAATTATTTGCGAGTATTCGCAAAAGCATTTTTTTGCAGATTTGAATAGACTATAAAATTTCGAATTCAGCAATATGCACATGTATACCTTTTGGGATGATATTTTTTGGTATTATTAAATTTAAGATTTCGTGATTTAAAAATTTTTATTTCCTAAATGTTTGAGAAAGTTTATAAACATTTATTCTATAAACACTTTAAAAACCTTTTAATTAAAACTATAAAACATCAAAACATTATTAAAAACTATAAATTTTTTGAGAAAAAAACCGAATTTTTCAATGAATTTGTTCCATAATTTTGCCGGTCACTGTAAGTATACATACGAATTTAAATGTTTACTATGACTCATCCCAAGCAGCATTTTAAGTTTAAATAACTACAAATTTACTACTAAGTCAACTTTAAAGCAGTGGCGGCTCGTGACCATTCATTAAGGTGAGGCCCATGAACCGCTATATGGCGCCGCAGGCAATTTTTTTTGAAATTTTCAAGGTCTCGCGTTTTTGGAGCACTACAGAATCTAAATAATAAAAATATATTATTTAAAAATATGTTCTTTCACGAGAAGAGTTTTCAAAATTTAGCTAGAATAATACAAAAAGTGCGGGACGAGGTGGGATTTTTATTTATTCCTTCAGCAGGTTTCCACATTAACCAGGAGGTACTGCTCATTTTTACCTATCTTACAATAATTATTTTTAGATTAATAAAGGCACAACCGCACAACAACAAAATAATAATGTACAAGCACCGTAGGTACAGTTGTATTCATTAAAAAAGCGTACAAGAATTAGAATGAGAGAAAACTGTCAACATTATTGCGTAAAACCGGCTTTCCACTGACTTAAGTCACTATAACTGACAGTAGAAAATAAAAATGCCTCGTCAGTTAAAAAGGTTCAAATAGTATCAAGAATCGAAGAAGAATGGTCAATTCGTACCGTGGTATAATAGAAATAAAAAATCTATATTAAAAATTAATAAGTTTTGTAATATTATTTAATTAACCTACGACGTCGATGCTCTTTATAACCTATAGTAATTATTTTAATGACTTATGTCAGTGATAAGCCGGTTTTAAGCAATAATATTATTTTGACAGTTTTCTCTCATTCTAATTCTTGTACGCTTTTTTATTGAATACAACTGTATTTGAAACTCAACGATTTAACACTGAACTATAAAAAAAACATGAATTTATATTTTTTGTGATTTTTACTGTGGTATTTGTGTGTTAATATAATAGTATATTAAAATAAAAATGACCTTTTATAATTATTTGAATTATTTTTACATGAATTCACAACACAATAATGTATTTTACGCTTGCATTTTTATCACAACTTTCCATTTTAACGCTAAGGCAAAGACTAAACAGAAATAAGAAACTATAAACACGCATATATCTAATTAATAAGGTTTGTTTACTAAAACATTCCACGCCCCGCCCAGTCTTTTACAACGGCTGATAAGCGAGCCGCACAGATCTCGGGACTGACTCTGCTTTCTTCCATATACTGTGGTACAAGCCCAACTTTGTGGGCCTCAATGTCTACAAAAATTCGCGTATTATCCCCGCCTTGCGGGGGTGCCGGCGGCACCGTGCAGCGGTGGGGAGCATGATGTTGTACCGGCAATGTGTGACGTATATGAAGCGCAAATTTCTGGGATTACTATTTCCCTATTATGCGGTCGGGCAATGATTTAAGCGTTTAGAATTAAAGTTGGAAGGGGTGCGCGCTTTTAATGACTGGAAATTAGTTTAAAAACGTTTTATATTTAAATAAGTAATGTATTCAACATTTCAAATTATATTATAATTTTAACATGTGAGGCCCGGCCTCAGTTGCTTTATACGAGCCGCCACTGCTTTAAAGTATTTTTTACGGTTAACCAAAACGGTTTTATAACAGTATAGATACGAAAAATTACCAAATTTGGGGAATGGTTTATTTCGTTATTTTACCTACATAATAACCTTTTTGATCTACTAAGAGAATAACAATAAAAACAATATAAATACCACAAATTTACGTAAAAATAACGCTATAATTACTAACTGTTTGCTCTCTCTTTTTAAAACATTGACATTCGTAATTTCTTTGTTCTTTTTATTTATATTTTACAAAATGGTACTTACAAAGGCCACCCTAGAGTAAAATTAAAAAATATAACTTAAATTGTCAAAACTAATAATATTTTGCAATAAAAGTTTTAATTTAAAACTCAAACGCACATTATTTTATTGACATTATTATTGTTTAGGTAAAAATTCAAAAAATCTTAAACCTACAAAATTTTATAAAATCTTTTAAAAATTACTTAGTTTTAATCATTTTTCAATAACTAAAACTTTCCTTATTATATTTTAGAAAAATATTTATGAAAAAATATTATTTAAATGTTTAGAAAAGTAATGGATGCCATCTTAAAAAACTCATTATGGCGACCTGAAAAAATGTTTCACTTTAAGCGTATTTTTCCTTGTTTAGTTAATATGAATAGTATTTATTACCACTAATAACCCTAAAAAAATATCAGGCGAATAAGAATTATTTATAATGGTCTTAAAAAAGGTTAATTTAACAAAATATTTACTTAAATTAATTAATATTGCCTCAAAGCTCTACGCATTTTCTTTAAAATGCTGAAATATTTTATATAAAAATGTCCAATCATTGTGCTGCATGGTTTTAGATTTTAATAAAACCATGACGTTTTCATATGAAATGATTCATTTCGAAAACAAGAGCAAATTGAAGACCCCTAAAACGATTTAAAAATGTAATAAATACCTACCTATTCTGTTGCTTCTAAGTGATAGTATACTAAGCGACGCTGGTCCATTCAAAGAAGAACTTGGTATATAGTACAAGCTATTTTTGTCGAAATTAAGTTCTTTTAAATTCTTGCAACCTTCCAAAATACCTTCTTCGATAGCTTTTATTTGGTTTCCACTCAGGTCTAGATGTTGCAAATAGCTCAACCCATGCAACTCATTGCTGGAAAAAATAGGGTTCAAAGTATCCCCTAGTAAATTGTCTGCCAACTTCAACTCCACCAACGTGCTTTGTAAACCCGACAGCAACCTTTCAGTGAGTCTTCTTAGCGAATTTCCCGACAAGTCTATCTTCCTCAGGGGCAGCCCAGTGGATGAAAACACCTGCGTTGGTAAGCTTTGGTGTCCCGCCCACCTTTGGCTGAAAGAGACCACCGGCGCTCCGAACGGAAGTTGAGGGAGATCACCTGGGAAAACCACCCTGTCGCAGTTTATACTAATGGCAGGGTTGTTGTCCAGTTCGGCTTCGACGGGCCCTAAGGCGCATTCGCACGGAAACCAGAGCTCGCTGGAGATCTCAGAGCATGGTTTAAAATCTAGAGGGTTGATTGCTGCGGGGGTGCACAGCAAGAGGGTGGCTATGTATATCCAGTCCATCTGAAACAAAAAGAAAGTGTTACAGCGTGGGTAAAGAAAGTTTGTACGATTGTTTTGATGTGCATTATGCAAATTTAAAGAGGTTCTAATACCAGATCTTTTACAGTCTAATTAATTTACATTGATAATAACGTTTTATGAATTTGAATGGTAAAAACTAGAACACTTTTTATACACGGTATAAAAAATCATTTTACTAAAAGTAACCCATTTTTTACTGTTACAGATGTTAAATACTACACGGAAAAAAATAATCGGTAGACTCTACCGAAAAAATCGGTTCCATCAACCGATTTTTATCGGTAGCAGCTACCGATTATTTTCGGTAGAGTCTACCGATTTTTTCGGTGCAGGCTACCGAAAAAATCGATTACCAATTTTTGAAAATTTTAGCAAGAAGTTAAATAGGTACTCGCTTTTTATTAAATAGAAAATAGTATTTTTTTTTGAGGTATAAATAAATTTGAAATACAAAAATATTAAAAATGAGGAGTAATTTTTATTAAATTTTTTACAATTCTAAATAAATATGAAATTAAATGTCTGGTGGCTACAAAGTAGACATTTTTTTTTTGTATTAATAAACAAGGTTCTAAATTTGGTAATTTGCTCTTATTCTTTGTCATACTTGATTTATAATCAATTTCAACGCAATAAGCATGATAGTGTTGATCAAAATACAATGTTTTAATCGAGAACATGAGAAAATATATACAATTATTTACACTGACTATTTCATTAATTTTTCCGAAGACTGGATCGTTATTATCATCAATCTCAACTAAAACAACCAAACCTTTCTAATATTTTTGACCACTTAAAGTTACATGGTTGTAGCATAGTATTTGATCTTCACTGATGTTGTCGAAATACTTGCTAATATTAAATAAATGTTGCCGTTTTATAGGACCAAAATTGATTTTATTCACTAAATTTGCAGATATTATTGTTCTAGCTACTTTTAGCTGATCTTTAATGGCGATTGTGTGCAACAAATTTTTCGTACAACACGTAGCAGTTGCTATAGCTCGTATTTCACGATTCCTAGACTCACATCTCATGCTCCAACAGTGAATCAAAGGGCCTAACAGAAGCATAGTGCTCCATATTATGGGATTTTAGTGTTAACGGTCCAACGTATTTAATATACAAAGTAGTGTAGTTTTTAACACGTTCATCTAACATAACATAATGATTTCGAAGGAGCTTAGGTGCTGTTATTATGTCTATTATCTGTCGCAATTTCAAATAAAACGTCCAAAGTTTTTAATTTTCTAACAGCGCATCGATGCGGATTTTCTCGGTTACGGCTACCGAAAAAATCGGTAGACTCTACCGAAAAAATCGGTAGACTCTACCGAAAAATAATCGGTAGCTACTACCGATAAAAATCGGTTGAGGGAACCGATTTTTTTTCGGTAGAGACTACCGATTTTTTCGGTAGTCTACCGATTTTTTCGGTAGAGTCTACCGGTTATTTTTTTCCGTGTACATATTTAGAAATGTCAATCCATATTAAAAAAATAATAAAATGTTTTAAACACATTTTAGAATATTTAACAGTATACATCTATACAAACTTAACAATTATTGATACTTTAAAATATTAAAATAACTTAAAAATATGATTAGGTATGCAGCGCCGGATTTAGGGGGGGTCTTTGGGGGTCTATAGACCCGGGGCGCAAGCTTACAGGGGGCGCAAAATTTTTGACTGGTAATTTTTGTTTTTTACTACAACCTAAAGGGTTTTCCCCTTTTTTTTATTTTTCGTGTATTAATCAGTTTTAATAAAAAAATTATTTAAATTATAACCGTGATTGTTGCCATAGTATTATTATCTATGCATAGTATACGAAATATGTCATGTCACGTAAGTTGTTGGGCGACAAGAACTTTAGTTTGCAGAAATTGATTATTTCCACAGATGCGATGCGTATGGGCGTAAAGGTTTTTTAATATAAGAATATTTTATTACACTACGAACAACTATTAATTTAAATTAGTTTAAAACTATAGTTATATACAGTACCAGTCATATATATATGTATGTATATATACAGTATAGGTATTAGCCTATTGAAAGATGACGTCAATATTGCGATAAACAAATTTTCTTCTCTAAAAGCACGCAAAGTTGAATTGGCAAAATGTTAATTTTCTTATTTAGGTATTTGTTTTTTATATCGTTTTTGTTTATGTTTTTAGGGTGGCAATATTTTTTCGACATTTTTTTTTATTTCGGAGCTCACATGAAACAATTTAAGTATTCAAGTTTCAACTCAAAAAAAAATAAACGTCGCTCAAAAAAATCAACTAAATTGGAAAAATAGTAGTGGTTACAAGATCAAAATTATTAAAAAAATCAAGAAATGTATTTCAAAAATATTGAGCGACCAATAATATTTTGACTTAAAAATGTATGTTCCTATACGACCTACAAAAAAAATAGTGAGACGCCAAAGATTTTGAGAAAAAAGGTTGGTTTAAAAAAGTTTTGAGCGACGTCTAAAATTTTTTTATCTGTTGAAACTCAAATACTTTAGACTTATTTTTTTTATTTGATCTCCTAAATCAAAAAAATTTTGAAAAAATACAACAACCCTAATGGGTATGGTTAAATAAAATCCTTTTGTTAAGAAGTGACATTTCTTTGAATTTATTATATAGGGGCGGAAAATTTTTATTAGACCCGGGGCGCAAATTTTTATAATCCGGCGCTGTAGGTATGTTAAGAAAATATTTTCTCCTTTGATTTTTGTATTACTATAATGGCAAAATATTATCATAAAGTACTAAAAATTCATACACGGGAAATTTTAGAGGTACAAAAAGTGACAGTTGCATTTATTAGAATTCCCGTTAGAATTTCTAACTTGGAAATCTACTGGCGCACTGTGGGCCAGGATTTAATAAAACATTGAAAAATATCAAACTCAACAAATGTATCAAATTTTACAGTGTTATTATCAAAAACAAACAAATATAAGTTGGTTTCACTTAAAACAGCTGCCCAGGCAACGAAAGATTGTGGGACCAGAGTATTTTAATTTAACGATATTTTGCTATTTTGCAAACTTTACCCACTATAGGGCGAAATTGTAAAACTTATTAAAGATCTTGTGATTTGTAATACAAGATATAGGATGTCAAAATGGAAATAATGTCCCAAATATAACTTTAATAGCCTATATATCTCTATATATTATTTCTTTTTAACAGTTTTTGAAAAATAACATAGATTTTCATAGACATCTTATGGCCGCAAAAAATATACAGGTACCTAATCGAAACAAAGCCGAAGGTATAAGATTAAAAAAGTTTTGCTAAAAAATTATTTTAAAGGCTATACTTTAAATTAAAGTCTTCAATAACAACTATAGAACTGCAATAACAGAAAATAATCATTTAAGTAAACAACAAGGGAAAATATAGCTTTAGTTGCTCAACTTTCTTAGTCGGAATCACTATCGAAGCTTGTATCGCTGTCAAAACAACCATCTGCAATAACTTCAGTGCCTCTGGACAAAATTAATGAATATATTCTTTATTTCTAATAAAATATTCTTCAATAATAATAATAATAATAATGTGTTTATTGTGTACAATAACTTACAAAAAACGGTTTTTTTTCAGATGTGAAAAAAAACATGAAAAAAAAACCTAGAAAAAAAACGGTTTTTTTTGTTTTTTTTCAAAAATAAAATTTTGCGTAAAATGTAGAATGTATTACATTTTTCATTATTGAAAATTTTGACCAAGACTAAAAAAATCTGATTTCTTATTATTTGGTAGTTCCCACATTAAAAACCAATAGTAATGTAAAACTTCTACACTAATACAAAAAATTAAAGGATAAAAAATTGTTTTTGCGATTTTTCGGATAGCTGCATCTTTGTTAAAAATGGTCGTATTGGAGTCGTAAAAAAAGCAATTTGAAGCTTGAAGTTTATAGTTTTGAGATTTTTAGATGAAACGTGCAACGCTCAATTCTAACGAATACCGTAATAAAAAAAATCGATTTTTTTTGCTTTCTTTTTTGGTCCACGGAATGTTCTGACCACCAATGAATAAATGTTCTACAAGAATTTGCTATTGTTTTTTTGGAAAAAAAAATTTCCATACTCTACATAAATTTGAAAAATCATGAAAAAAGTGCTTTTGAGGAAAAATCACGCGCTGAATCAAAAATATTATATATAGTTACTTTTTTTAGGACCAAATCAAAACAAGAGCGGCCCTTATTGGTCCATTCGGTGGTGGTGGCGCGTGCATAGCGCGAGACTGTATTTACATTTACTAATTGTGATTTAGTGGCTAATTTTAGTCCATGGAAACATAAAAAATTAGGCAAATGGGACTAATCTTGAAAAAAACCTAAAATGTGAAAAAAACCATTTGAAAAAAAACAATGAAAAAAAACCTGAAAAAAAAACAAAAAAAACGGACCGTTTTTTTTCAAGTCGCATCTCTAGTTATGGAAGAAGAGAAATATTTCTTCTAAAGATATCGCGTTTTAAATGCCAAAAGGGCGTACCACTAAAGCAGTTAGATAGGGGTTTGTGCCGATACATCTAAACCAAGCACGGATTTGTAATCTACGACCAAAAATTAAGTTTACGTGTCCGAGCGTTTAGCTGTGATTTTTCACCTCTCTACAGTGCTATTATTTGAATAACAATCAAAAAGTCGCAGTACACTAAAAAAAATTGTGGAGTAAATGCGGAGTGGATTATTTTCAATTGATTCACTCTAACCAGGATTAAAATATACTCCGAGAAGGATTTATTCGATATTATTAATAGAATTCACTCCGCAGAGTGAATTATTTATTTATTTATTTATTTATTGAATAAAGATAAAAAATATTTGTTAATCGTTTAAAAATTATAAAATGCATATTTAGAGATTTTTTTAAATTAAATTTGACATAACTTTTTAGAATTTTTGTCATAATTTGATTTTTTTTCAATTTGACTTTTTTTATTTTTTTGAAAATT